GCAGCATGACAAATGTTTACTTTGATTACATAATCATTATGCAGGGCTAGGTAATGGATAATAAGTAACGATTTGTAAATGATTGGATATATATAAACTCAATATAACTTGAGTTTGTTATACTGCAGTAAATTTTTACCTTACTGGGAAGCTAATTCTCTTTCTTTTATTTTTAAAAATATTCTTCTTCTTCTTGAGAGCTGTCGCTTCGTATTTTCTTTAAAGAGATAACACATTTTGGTGTCCACTTAAAAGAAGCAAAGATGAAATGTAAAAGTCAGATCAAAGATCAAATGTGATATGATATTTGGATGCAAACTATAACGTGACATTTAAAATCCCTATATACTAGTATAATTTCGTAAACGTTGCCAATACAAACAAATATATTAGAATTATAAAAATGGTTTTAAAGATAAAATAGATTTTAGGAAGGTTTGACCTTGAATAAAAGGTCAGAGGTCCAAAGTAACATGAAATTTAGAATTCTGATCTATAATTCCGTGTCCACCTACATGTTGTCAGTAAAAAACACGGACAGTTAGAAACATAGTTTTAAATAACTCTATATTGCATTATTATTATTCCTTTGAGTTTCAGATCAATCTGAACCTGAAGGAACACAATGTGACCAAAGCGCTTTGAGTGCTCATGTAGAATAGAAACGTTCTACATAAGAACCAATCCATTTATATGTTGACAATGCACACTTCAAGTTTTTTCCACCAATAAATCAGTAAGTTGACCTCGAAGACCAAATTTTGATGTATTGTTACCATGACTCCCCTCTACACCTCTACAAAGTTATTAGAATTCATTCAAAACTTTTTAAGCCATCACCTTTAAACAAAGATTGACACACACGGAAGTTATTGGTAATTAAATAGTTGACGTCTTTTTTGGAAAATAGAGGCCCTAAAATATTTTATTTTGGAAATCATAACCGGAAAAGAATCTTCCTTGACACTAACACTGAACTTCCGGTATCTGAAACCGAGGAGGAGGAGCTAAAACGTCCGTGAAGAAACAGGAACCGTCTCCTGTGTCGTTGGACGTCAACTGATGACAGCCCTGTGAGAAAGAAAATAAAACGAAACAAATCCTTGCGCTTTGTTTTTGGTAAGTTTATACATTTGTTCGCTTTATCGCGGCTTTTCTGCAACCAGTTTTTTCTTATTAAACGACATAATATTGAAGTGAAAGCAGAAGTGATGAACTTTATAGGCCAAGGGCAGCCAGAGCTGTACCTGTTTGGCAGGATGACACTGATACAAGCTTCTGCTCGCACTGTTTTGCATATCCTGTATCCGCAAAATTTTCCTGTGATAATATCAAAAAAGCTTAGTATCAGTCTGCAGTTTTGAATTAAATCTTACTAGCTTGAGATTTTTAGCGTATAAGCTTCACTAATCATATATCTGGTATATTTGGCAGAGGAAGAATGTATCTTGTATTGCATGAATTTAAGTACAATTGAGTTCGTTACTTACTACATTAAGTAGTTGATGAATAGATTTTCTTAGCAGAAAATCATTCGTCTTTTTGAATTAATGAAAAAAATCCAACTATTATAATATTTCCAGCTTCTCTAATATGTGTATGTGCTTGTTCTCTTAGTATTCAATTAAATTTAGCTATTATTAGTTTTGAAGTTTGGTTCAGTGTAGGACAAAACAAGACATTAGAACATACCTACTATTTTTTCCTGACAGGACCAATAAAATAATCAACATATGAATCAAGGGGAAAAAAAATAATTCACTTGTATGTTTTGGTTTAAATGGTTTTCCAAAATAAAACATTTTTTTCACTCAGTCATCTGCGTCACCTTATACATATAAAAATGGTGGGCATATGATCTGACTGCATGCACACTGTTTGGATCCTCTTTATCAGCTGCTGTCTGACATGTTTCACTAGTGACCAGTGCTCCCTGACCAAGACCAGTTGTGCCAGGACAGTAGGGCACACATCAGACACCTCATGGCTGCCAGGCACCAGAGACCTGTGGCTGCTTCAGACAGCTCAGCGAGGACCAGTGAGAAGAAGTGCTGTGAGTGGTTGCCTTTCTGTCTGTGTTCTTTAGATGCGATATAAAAATGAGAGGTGTAATTTACCCTCTATTAACGAATTATTATGTTGTTGAACTTTGACATATTGTTAAATGTCAGCACTATTAATGACTGCACCTTCTGGCATTATTAGCATGCATACACTGTGTGAGAGTGCTTGTAAAGAAAGGTACTAAAAATACCTTTTGATGTATAGTAAGGCTGTAAATGAGTAACGCTCAGTAAAAATGTCTGTAAGATAAGCTCAACTTTAACTTCACAGTCAAGCTTTAATCTGGTTATCTTCAATCTGGAATGTGGGACAGGGCCTAACGTAGGAATTCAACTTTAGTAGGAATTCAGCAGATCTCTTTAACTACACAGTGTTAATGGGATCTGCTGTGACAAACTCCAGTCATGTCTGTTCTTGCCAGAGATTGGCCTTCCACAAACAGTGATGGAAAAGCAAGGCGGAAAAAAATCAGTTAGAAATGTTTCCATTTCATGCTCGAGCAGACAAGGTTACGCTGTGATAAAGAAACATTAACCTGCAGCAAAGAGATGACGATATTGTTACGTAAAATAAAGGTTAACTAGTTAGTGAACTTTGCAGAGGTGACATTTTATTATTACAGAACACTCCCACTCTTTGCTGTCACTGTGTACAGTAGGCATACCTGCCCTTTTATTTTGAAGGGTGGATTTTAGAGGGGGGCGGCTGGTTTTGAAATGTCCTTGAATGATTAATAAAGTTTATAGTTATGTGTATCTGTTTTGGTTTGTTTTTTTGTACTTATGCAAACTGCAGCTTGGGCTTCCTACATGACCAATTCTCCAACTATGATCGTGATGATCGGATTGCCCGCTAGGGGGAAAACCTATATGTCCAAGAAGCTCACACGCTACCTCAACTGGATTGGAGTACCAACAAAGGGTCAGTAATCAGTTTCACAAAGTCAGACACCTTTTCGCAGGAAATCAAGTTAGTAAAACCGGATATGTAGGTTAAAAAAATAAAACTTTAGATCAGTCAAAGTTAGGGTGGTTATGATGGAGTCTATGATCATCAAGACTGCAAAAATATCCATCTAATAAAAATCTTGATCTTCAGGCAAATTATTTAATTTGTGTTTGTATATGTCAACATCCCTCAACACATGGCTCTATTTGTTGTTGTTCACCTATGTTTCAATGTACACGTAATGCAGCAGAACTGGTTTGACAGATACAGCTGGTTAGGCAGAGGCAATCCTTTTCACTTAGTTTTATTGTCGTTCTCTGACTGTTTGTTTGTTTGTTCTCTTGTAGTTTTTAATCTCGGAGTGTATAGGAGAAACGCAGTGAAGTCGTACAAGTCCTATGACTTCTTCAGACATGACAATAAAGAAGCAATGGAAATTAGAAAGTGAGTAAATTAAATCCTATTCATATATGAACGTACTTTCAGTAGTCCTTGTCACTAAATGCACCTGGCTACTTTCCATGTAGGTCAGTCATGCAAATTCCTTTGTTGAGCCGCGTTGTGTTTGTTTAACAAAATGGCGGCATAGTTATTACAGCACATTACACGATGATGATAACGTTAATGAGCTACTGCTTTGATTTCCTGCTTATTTTTCCACAGAAAGTGTGCCATAGTGGCACTTACGGATGTGAAGACCTATCTGAGTGAGGAGGGAGGGCAGATTGCTGTAAGGACACCAAAAAAAACCCCCTGAACATTATTTGTATTACATAATACATTTAAAGCAGGGTTTGATTTATGCTGAATGCTCCATGTTGTCTCTCAGGTTTTCGACGCCACCAACACCACCAGAGAGAGGAGAGAACTCATCCTTAATTTTGCAAAAGATAATGCATATAAGGTTAGAACTGCACTTATAACTGAATAATGAAACAGTTTCTGATCACCAACCTTTTGTTGTCAGATCACAGTAATATAATGAAGCATGCAGTGTCTCTTCTTGGCAAGTCTTTTCTTGGAAAAAATTTCATTTACAGCCAGTTTCCAAGAAGCATATCTCAGATATTTAAGACACCCAGAGGTTACCAAATCTTCATGACTGGACAGGCTGAACATTCTTTTCTGAACATTGTTTTGGGTTCAGTGCCTTTTTCAAACTGTATAACAGACAGTAGTTAATTTGTGTTGCAGTCATTTAAAAATGTAAAAGGACACCTTTCCCCCCTTCACTGCACTGCACTTCTCTTTTTTCAGGTGTTTTTTGTTGAATCAGTATGTGACGATCCAGATGTCATCGCTGAAAACATTATGGTAAATCATACATTTACTTGCTTTTTGTCTTCATGTATCAGCAAGCTTGTATCCCTGAAGTAATGAAGCTCATGGTATACTGTAAATGTCTCCTTCATATAGGACGTGAAGGTGTCCAGCCCAGATTATCCTGAGAGGGACAGAGAAAGCGTCATGGGGGATTTTCTGAAGAGAATCGAGTGTTATAAAGTGACCTACCAACCTTTAGATCCAGACGAACACGACAAGTAAGAATACCTCTACTAGTTGTATTGTTCTAATCTAATAATCTAACTCTAATTTAAAATGGAAATATTTTTTTCCATGGAAGTTTAAAGTCAAGGAGATATTTTATGTAAAAGAGCATGTACCTGCAGAAGTTGTCCAGAAGATGGAAACAGAAGCTCATTTATAGTGCAAAGCAGTGATTCAGAGGTCATTACTTCCTGAACTCCTACTAACTTAGTTTTAAATTTGGAAGCTTAGTGGTTTGTTTAAAGTCTTTGATAATTACACTGATAATATATTTAGATTTTTATTGATCTCACTGAGATAATACAGTGTTCTTTTAACTGAAATAAGCAAGAGTAGTTGTGGATCCTTTTACTGCTTCTCACTTCTTATGACCTTGTTAACAAGCTACTGAGAGAGAATTTCCCAGTGTATTTACACTATACCACAAGTACAAGATATGTCTTCTTTACCCTTGAGTTTTATTGGCCTGAGATTTATGTGATTCTCTTATTGTAATTTTTCCTCTGCCTTACAGGAACCTGTCCTTCATCCAGGTCATCAACGTTGGCCGTAGCTTCTTGGTCAACAGGGTGCAGGATTACATTCAAAGTAAGATAGTCTACTACCTCATGAACATCCACGTCCACTCCCACTCCATCTACCTCTGCCGACACGGAGAGAGCCATCACAATGTGGAAGGACGTATAGGGGGAGACTCTGAACTGTCAGAGAGAGGAAAAGAGGTGCTTTAGTTTTTTTTTCTTGTAAAGAGTTAGATGAGATTGATAACAATGCCCATATTTATGTTTTAAATTTAATATTAACACCAACAGGCTATTTTAGCATAAACAGATAAATAGAGGGTAATGGGTGATTTGGCTCTGGCTAATATCACCTTCAAAACAATAAGCTTTAAAAAGAGGTGTGATCAAAAAGTTCTGGGAGAAGGACGTCTAACTCAAAAATCAGTTTTCAACACGACTTCTAGTTTTAGATGACCTTGTAAAAAGTCGATGTGTGCTGTATCTTCTCCAGTGTATCAACAACGCTTTTACCTTGATTTTTATTTATGTGATGTGGAGACAAATCTGGCCACATTGTAAGTGAAGATGTTGGCAAAAAAAATAAAAGATTTCACTATGCATTTATACAGCTCTCACCACATAATGATACGGGACACAAAAATTTGAAGACAGGAAGGGGTGTTTTCTAAATAAATGTGAAGACCGTTGTGAAGTCATCCATACATCCATTTTCTGCCATTTATCTGGATTTAATTTATGAGGACAGCAATCTAAGTAGATGCCCAGACCTCGCTTTCCCCAACCCCTCCATCTGATCCCAAGCCAGCTGAGACACATAATCTCTCCAGCATGTACTTGGGCTCTTGCTGGTAGGACAGTGTGCGAACCAGCTTACCTAGAAGCCATCCAGGAGATATGCTTGTTAGATGCCACCCTCACTGGTATCCAGCAACTCATGATTTCAGTCACTACCAAGAGCTTGTGGCAATAGGTGAGGCTAAGAATGTCAATCGACTGGTAAATAATTAGCTTTGTTCACTTTAGACTGCAGTTCACTTTACCACAATAGACTGGTACAGCAAAGTAAATCTAACTCTCCATCAACTTGTGAAGAAGACCTTGAGATACTTAATATCTCCCACCTGGGGCAGTAACTTGTCCCTGACACAGAGTGAGCAGCCCATCCTTTTCCGGCTAAGGTGTCACGCTTGGAGGTGCTGATTCTCGTCCCAGCCATTTCAACCATTGCAAACCACCCTGCTGCACACTGGAGGTCACTGCCTGACCACATCATCTGTGAAAAGCAGAAATGTGAACAGAATCATTGATGAAGGGCAGCCATGGTGGAGTCCAAGTCTCACAGAGTCTGACTTACTGCATGCAATCCAAACGAAGCTCTTACTACTCTGACTCCTTCTTCACCTCTGGTGTCCATCATCTGGTTCAGGGGTTACCGCCGTGCACTTTGTAGCCACAGCGCTGTAGCTCTCAGCTTCGGCAATAGAGCTGCTTAACATGGTCCACTTATACTCAGTTTTTCTAGCCTCTAGTTTCTATCCTTTCTTGTTTGGTGCACAAACCTGTCCATCGCGACAAGGTGGCAATTGAAGAATTTAAGGAGAGGCATTGTTGTGAAATTAAAGAACACATGTAAGTTGTCAGAATGGAACTTGCAGAGAGTGATCTAAAAGCAGCTTTAACATTTGAAGTCAGGTTAGGTTTTTGATTCTTATGGTCCTGCTCCTTGAATCTGTTAAATACAGTTCAACTGAACGTGGGAAGAATGACTTTATAGTCAGTTCTTAAACATATTTGTGTTTTTATATGCTATGTTTGACAGTGTGCAGCTGCACTGAAGAGGTTTGTGAAAGAGCATAAATTGTCGGACTTGAAAGTTTGGACCAGCCAGCTAAGACGCACCATTCAGACAGCAGAGGAGCTGGGTATTCCCTATGAACAGTGGAAGATTCTCAATGAAATAGATGCTGTAGGTATTACTTAAGTTGTATATATACAAACTTTTGTTAAACTTCTTGAAATACAGCTTAAAGTCTGCACTTTAATGACTCCTTGATTGTTTGCGTTGTGTGCAACTTTGATGTCTACAGAGGCAAAACTACAATAAATGTGTCATTTTCATGTGTGAAACTGTATTTGCCTGCATATATAGGAACAGACACAATGAAAACATGATAAGTCTCGATCTTATTACTTTGTATTTTAGGGAGTGTGTGAAGAAATGACCTATAAGATGATTGAGGAAAAATACCCAGAGGAGTATGCTATGAGAGACCAGGACAAGTATCATTACCGCTACCCTGGAGGAGAGGTAAAAGGTTTCATTTTCTCCTGGAGTGTTGTTTGACCTGCCATATATTACCACTGTGAGTGTGTCGAGTTTATGCAACAGGCTTTAAATTTCAAGTTTATTTTTTACTTTTTTTTCCCTCATTATTCTTTTACCATAGTGTGAATGCCAGAGGGCTGCAGATGAATCATCAATCAGAAAAACAGAAGTTAAAAATGTTGACAGCTGCAAGGATAGCTTCTTTTTTAACTACAAATGCATCATTATATGTATGGAGTAACAGAAGATTTTATGTTGAGATAAATAGAAATACGATGAGCTCATATTGCAGAGGAGCATAGAATAAAGACACATCAGCTATATTGTTGCTGTTCATCATAACTAACACTGACTAATAAAGAAAAGGGAAAATTAAAATAACCGTAAGCACATGACAAAATTAGACCTTGCAGCAGTTAGTCAAAGATTTTTTTGATGTAACAAACTGAAAAATGTGAAACTGAATGGACCTCTTTCATTTGACTCTCTCCATAGTCCTATCAGGACCTGGTTCAGCGGCTGGAGCCAGTGATCATGGAGCTGGAGCGACAGGCCAATGTTCTGGTCATCTGTCATCAGGCTGTCATGCGCTGCTTGCTCGCCTATTTTCTGGACAAAGGCGCAGGTGACATGCTCAGAAATAGGATATGCTAAACATGCTAAAGCACCTTCTCAGATTACAGGTTTACAGTCCTGAGTGATCCATTTCATCCAGCATTGTCATTATCACAACAAATTTGCCCAGATAAATAAGCACTCATTCATACAAATTAATTCAATGCAGTTTAGTTGTATTTAAATAGTGCCAAATTACAACAACAGTTGTAATACAGTCAGCAGAAATACAAAGTTAGCAGAAATACACTAAATGACTCAGGCACGTGCAACTTTAATGGATGAGAAGCAGTTTCCAAAGCACTTACTATTTTTGTTTCTTTATATTTGGAGAAATATCACATGGGGCACTAAATTTAGATATTGTCATGACTTTGAAATGTGCATTTCCACATTACCAGTTGTTTCCTTATTGTAGATTATGCACTTGGCATTGTGTGAATGGGTGCATAGCAGTGCCAAAGGCCACCAGTGTGCAGGTTTACGTTTTAAAAAGCTGATTTTACTTTTCACCAATATATCTTAAAAAATTATTTCATTTCAGCAAAATGAAAATAAGTAATTTTTAAGGATTTTTAAGTGGGCCTGTAAAAGAGGTAATCTAAACAGAACCTTTTTTCTAAATTACTGCTTAAAAAAGTGAGAGACAGCTCAACCTATATATTAGTGGATGAAACCATTATGAAGGGAGAAACCGGAGGGACAGTAACTAATTCAAAACAAATAAACCCCATTCCTCCATGCTCTCACAACAGATGGTTTCATTTCACTCATTAGGTCTCTGTATTTCAGCCAGCCGCACCCTCAACCCCCTCTCTGGTCTAACCAGAAAGGACTAAGCCAGGTAGCTCATAAAGCAGAAAAAGTAATTAAAGCAACCATCTTTTAGACTACAGTCTAATGTAATAAAACGTGTGGAAAAAAGAAACACAAACTAAACAAGCTAGGTGTGTACAATGCAACTCCAGTGACTGCAACAAAAATTTGGTAATGATGTAATGATGTGGGAGTTTGTGAAACCATAAATCTGGTTTATGTGTTGAGAGTAGGGTGGCTAAATAATGCAAAAGGGTCATTTCAGCTGTTGTGCGGCTGTGGGCACGGCCCTCGCAGGCTGAGCAGTGAGAACCGCACATAACTGCCAGAAGGTGTTTGCTGAAGAATAAATAGTAAATTTATTTTAAGCCTTTTTAAGTGCTGCACACTTTCAACCAATCACAATCAAATTTATTATTATTCTCAATCTCATTATTCTCAATCTCAATCTCATCTACAAATGGCGCCAGACTATTGCGTCACACACTTTTATAGACATCAGCCAACTGTGCGCTGTTAGTACGTGCATCTCTAATTCATATAACAGAATTAGGCATAGGCTTAGGTGAGTAGCTTGTTAGATGGATGTTGTGTCCACCCACCATGTTTTCTGTGCCATGAGCTCTAAGTTGCAGCGAAGAACCTCTAAGAATAGTACAGCTTTAACTGCAGCATACTTGTGTATTAAGCTGTGTCCCAGTGCAGTAAACAGGGTGGATGTTATTTGACAGAGCAGAATCACTGATATAAATATTTTGACCACATTAGACAGTGGATGGTAATGAAACAATCAATCATTTAGTTAGACTTTCATTCTGTGATTGTTTTTTAATGCCACCACATGGGGAGTCTAAGTCACAACCTTTCAGATCAACTTTTACTGCATGTATATTTTTTTAATGAATATAGGGGGAAACAGCTACATAAAAATGCAGACTGTTTCCAGATTAATCAAAATTTAACATAAGGAACATCTGCTAAACATGATGCAGTGAAGAGAGCACCACTTTTTGCAGACTACTCTGTTTTTAAGACATGTAGGAGATGATTGGTTTTAAAGTAGCACCATGTGCCTGATAATGCATTGAGTTATGTCTCCAGAGATTTAGATATTCAGGTATGTCTGTAAAAAGTGATGTAAATAAGTGACGTCTGTAATGACGTACTTCTTGATTGCCGCTGTCTTTTCCAGTGTTTGGAAAATAAACAGATCAGAAAGACGCCATCAACAGCAGTAGCAAGAGTTCAAGCTATACAATTAGGACAATTAGGACTCCCCGTGATATAGAAATGTGTTTTTAGTGTCCCTCTATATTTTCATTTATGAAGGTAAATATTATGACGTAACTAAAATGTTGTCCAGAAGGGTTAGAAAAAATAAATGAGAGTGAAAATAAAATAACAAAAACACAGGACAGGAAAGACTGATGTTGTTATTATTGGACACAAACAAGGTAAGAATGTCGTATATGTGAACGCCATTGGCAATCAGAAACTTGGAAAGGGACAGATTAAATCATTATGTACAGAAAGCTTCTTTATGTACTTGATCATGTGACGTGAGCATTACTTTTGGAAAATTATTAGTTCACTCACTACCATAATTAGGCGTGGGCAGAAGTGGTTCTGTCAGTCAGCAGAGGAAGTGGTCAGTGCTCCTGGATCGGTTTAAAAGCTCAACCACAGTCTGACTCCAAAAACCAAAGTGTGGGTGCTGCTTTGACTGGCTTCATGTCCCACTGCACTGCCCACCCATGAGACATACAGCAGAGTTAACAGCAACATGCACTGTACCTCCATAAAGCGCAGCATAAGTTTTACAGCTGGCCTGCCACTTCAGACATGAGAGCAAACTCCACAAACATGTAGGAGAATATGAAAAGCATGACTGGGTGAAACCACAGTAATCTCACTGGCCACTTTTATTCATGTTGGCACAGATGACCTGCCCTTCTTGAAGTGCCCCCTACACACTGTCCTAAAACTCACCCCTGTGGCGTATGGTAAGTCCCTACTTTGTTGTTAAGTCAACTAAACATCCTCACTTGTTTTTGTTGCCTTGTTGTAATGTATTTTGGTTCCTTCTCTTAGGTTGTAAAGTGGATGTATTTGACCTGGGGGTGGAGGCTGTCAACACTCACAGGGATAGACCATTAGTAAGCTTCTGCCTGTTTTTAATGTTTCGTATCCCAAACATGTGGTCAGTTTTCTGTAAAACCGTTCATCCTGCTCTTTGTCATGTGTTTGTCCATAGTATGGAGTCTGAAACATCAGTCATCTGTGTTAACCAGCGCCATGTTAAGAGTTATTCTTTGGAATAATTGTTCCTCATTCTTGAAAAGCCTTTCAGAATTGCACTTGTAGAAGATTTATACCAATCATTCCAATCATATCTGACTATATCTAGAAAGGAAGCAGTGGAAACAACAGCTAGCCTCTGTTTATCTTAAGTTATTTACAGTCACAAGCCACTTTGTTTGGTTGCTAGTATACCATTCTAGGATTGGGTTGGATCCACTTTAGCCTTAAAAACTGTCTTAATTCTTTGTGGCATAAATTCAACAAGGCACTGAAAAGATTCCTCAGAGATTTCGGACTATATTGGCATGATAGCAACACACAGTGGCTGCACATTTATCAGCATGGTCTCAGTCTACTGCTCCACCACATCCCACAAAACATGGTCAGCAACAATAATGAGCTAGACTATGGTGTTTAATCAATGCTCGACTGATAATAAGTAAGGAAAGTATCCCTCCTACCTTTACACCACCAGCAGCCTGAACTGTTGCTACCATCTGAATGTTACAGCAGGAAAGCTGACTCATCAAATAAGGCAATATTGTGTTGTCCAGTTTTGGTGAGCCTGTACAAATGGTAGCCTTGTTTTCCTGCTCTACCCTAACAGTACTAGCACCCAGTGTGGTGTTCTGCTGCTGTATTTGTACATTTGCTTCTAGGTTCCACGTCTTAAGCGTACAGAGACACTCTTCTGCATATCTTGGTTGTAACTAGCGGTTATTGCAGTTACAGTTCTCTTCCTCTCAGCTCAAAGCAGTTAGCTGTTTTCACCCAGAAAACTGCTACTTACTGAATATTTTCTCCTTTTTTTTTTTTTTTGAGAATTTTCAGTATTTGTATTCAAGTTTCGGAAATACTCAGACCTGCTCTACTAACCACGCCACCTTAAATCGCCTTTCCTCCCCATTCCGATGCTCTGTTTGAACTTCAGCAGGCTGTCTTGATCAAATCAATGAATAGCAGTGCTGCTATGTGATTTGCTGATTAGATATTTGTGTTAACGAGCAGTTTACAGGTGTACCTAATAAATTCAATTCAATTCAATTCAATTCAATTCAATTCAATTTTATTTATATAGCGCCAAATCACAACAAATGTCGCCTCAAGGCGCTTCATAGATACAG